AAGCAACTAGTAAATAGTAATAGAAAAATTCATGTGCTTTGGAAAGAGTCCGGAAATAGAAATCATTGGATCATAGTTTGAACAGTCCTAGAGCAGTCATTTAGAATCTTGTGGTAGCCATTTGCAACTTTGTGATTCCTTGTATTCCATCAAGACCCTTTGGTTTTAGAAAGCAGTTGTACCATCTCTACCTAGGTACTGTCTATGCCCTATGCCCTGATTTTGATCTGCTTTCTGTTTTTACATATTTCTTAGAATGTCTGTAATCTTGGCTCAATCTTCTTTCAAATAGCATTGTGCCCTTGGTACTTTGCAATGCTGTATTTTTGTTCTTTTTTCTTTTCTTCCTTTATTTTTTTTTTTTTTGTACCAGGGATTTAATCAGAGTTAAGTGGGCGCTTAACCACTGAACCACATCCCTGACCCTTTTTATTTTGAGAGATGGTCTCATTAGTTGCTTAGGGCCCTGCTAATTTGCTGAGGATGACATTGAACTAGTGATCTTCCTTCTTCAGCCTCTTAATTGCTGGCATTACAGGCATGCACCACTGCACCTTGTCTTTCATGCTGTTGCAGTATATTTGAGTTGTTTCTGGGTTTACATGATTATGAATAAAGCCACTATAAAAATTGTGCATAGATTTTTCAATGAACATACAGTTTTATTTCCCTTCACTAAATGGTGATGAGTGGGCTATTTCAGGTTATATGGTTATGTGTATTTTTAAATTCATATTGAAACTTTACTAAAGTGGCTGTCTACTTTTTTCTTTCTTTCTTTCTTTTTTTTTTTTTTGTACTGGGGATTGAATCCAGGGTCCTTAACCACTGAACCACATCCCAGCCCTTTTTTATTTTATTTTATTTATTTTAAAGTTTTCTGGTTTTTTCGTTGTTGACTAACCTTTATTTTATTTATATGTGGTACTGAGAATTGAACACAGTACCTCCACCACTGAGTTACAGCCCTAGCCCCTTGTTTTTTTATTTTTGAGGCAGGGTCTTGCAAATTGCTAAGAACCTTGCTAAGTTGCTGAGGCTGGCCTAAAATTTGAGATCCTCCTGCTTCAGCCTCCTGAGCTGCTGGGATTACAGGCCTTCTAGCAGCTGCTATCCAGTTTTTCAATGCCACCAGCAATTGCTGATTGTTCTCCATCCTCCTCAACACATGGTGTTGTCTTCTACGAAATTTGTCATGTTAAATAAGTGTATTGTGATATCTCATTGTGGCTTAAATTTGTATTCCTCTAGTGCGTGATGATGTTGAATATCTTTTTGTTTATTAACCCTATCCATTCTCTTTGGTGAAGTGAATGTTCAAGTCTTACTCATTTGACAATCAGTTGTTTTCTTATTAATGTGTTTTAAAAATCATTGTTACAATTTCTTTTTTTTATATCTATTTTTTAGTTTTAAGTGGTTACAATATCTTTATTTTTATGTGGTGTTGAGGATCGAACCCAGTGCTTCACAAATGCTAAGCGAGCACTCTACCACTTGAGCCACAACCCCAGCCCACAATTTCTTTTTTATATAAATGTTTTGCAAATATTTTCTTTCCATTTAAAAACAGAGGAACCTCTCCCTCTCCCTCCTTTCTCTCCCTCCCTTCTCCCTCCCTTCAGTTTATACAAAGGTGGGAAGCAGCATTATGGTAGATTTGTGGAAATTGTGAATTCTGTATAGGTTCAAATGAGCACCTGTGATCTTGAGCAAGTTACTTAACCTCTGTAGGTCTGTTTCTCTATGTAAAATGGGTACAGAAAAAATACCTACTTTATAAGTTTTTGAGGATAATGAAAGCAATGTATACACATATATACACACACATGCACACACTAACTGACTGACTTTGTGGGGGTGGCAGGGAAGTTCTGGGAATCAAATCCAAGGCCTCACACTTGCCAGACAAGCACTTTACCACTAAGCTCTACCCCTGGTTATATGTGTGTGTATGTGTGTTGTGTGTGTGTGTGTGTGTGTGTATATGTAGTGTATATATATATGTATTTTCTAAAACATGATGATGATGATGATTTTAGTTCTCAATGGACCTTTATTTATTTATATTCGGTGCTGAGAATAGAACCTAGTGCCTTGCATATGCTAGGCAGGTGCTCTACCATTGAGCCACCCCCTCAGCCCCTATATATGTATTTTTAATAAGGGATAAGGACTGGTTTGTAGTAACTACTTGATAAAAGTTATACTTTATTTTTCTGAGTCATGAAATCTTTGTTCTCATTTTAACTACTTAATTTTAATTGATTTTTACAGAGATGTAATTAATTGATTTTTATGGTATACATTTAGAACACTGTTTCTCAAGTAAGATAGTTTTTCTTCTCAAGGATATTTGACAATATCTGAAGACATTTTTGGTTGTCACAACTGGGGGGAGTGGTTCTACTGGAATCTGTGGTGAGTAGAGGTCAGGAATGCTGATAAACAGCCAATAGGCAAAGTACAGTCCCCTATAATAAGAATTATCCAATCCATAATATTAATGTTGAGGCTGAGAAAACTGTTTAAAACCATTTAAAACATGGAAAGTATAAACTTTTTTCTTGTTGCTAGGGTTTGAATCCAGGCCTACCACTGAGTTACACACTCTAACCCCTTTAAAATTTTTTTCTTTTTCCCCAGTGCTGGGGATTGAACCCAGAATCTCGTGCCTTCAGGGAAAGCACTCTTATTATTGAGCTACATCTCTAGCCCCCAAAGGTGCAAATTTTAAATCTACTGGTAGGTGAATCTTGACTTGTACACCTGTTGAACTCTGTCTGCTAGAAAGTATAGAACGTGGCCTGGTGCGATGGTGTACATCTGTAATCCCACTGACTTGGGAGGCCGAGGTAAGAGGATCACTAGTTCAATGTCAGCCTGAGCACCTTAGCAAAGTCCTAAGCAACTTAGTGAGATCTTTTCTCTAATTAAAAAAATATAAAAAGGTTTAGGGTTGTGGGTTTGTAGTTAAGCGCCCCTGGTTTCAATCTCTGGTGCCATCAAAAAAAAAAAAAGGAAGGAAAGAAAAACATACAAGTATTTTATGAAGACAGTAACTTCTAGCTTTTGAGACCATTTTAGAGATTGAATGAAAAAAGCATATCTTTATGAAATTTACCAGTTTGTTATCTGTTATCTTAGATACCTGTGTTCTATACCTACTTATTTATGGCCCTGTAGATCCAACCTACTTTCTCACTAATATTAGGCAAGCATTCTATCACTAAATTACACCCATACCCCTATTCTGCACCAACTCTGAATTCTCCAAATCAAGGAAGTTCTGTTATCTTGTGTTTTCAGTAATGAGCATTTTTTTTTCTAATTTAAAAGTGCTTAGGAGGGCTGGGGATGTGGCTCAAGCGGTAGCGCGCTCGCCTGGCATGCGTGCTGCCCAGGTTCGATTCTCAGCACCACATACAAACAAAGATGTTGTGTCCGCCGAAAACTAAAAAATAAATATTAAAATTCTCTCTCTCTTTCTCTCTCTCTCTCTCTCCCTCTCCCACTCTCTCTTTAAAAAAATAAAAAATAAAAGTGCTTAGGGAGCTGGGGTAGTGGCTCAGAGGAAGCGTGCTTGCCTTGCATATGTGAGGCACTGGGTTCGATCCTCAGCACCACATACAAATAAAACAAAGGTATGTTGTGTCCACCTACAACTAAAAAATAAATGTTAAAAAAATACCTATAAAAAAAGTGCTTAGGCACACTTGTTTGTACAATAGATTTATTACAGCCCACGAATGTGTGTGTTTGCTTCTCTCCGTATGATAGTGAAAAATGTGTATCTGATGAAGGAGGCGTAGTTAATAAGACCTAATAGTAACTTTTACAGATAATATAAAGTAGAAATAAAAAGAAAAGGAATTTGTTTGTCAGAGGAGAGGTGGGAGGCTTTGAGATAACAATATAAAAACATTGAGGGCACAGGCTGGGGTTGTGTCTCTGGTAGAGCACTTGCCTAGCATGTGTGAAGCACTGGGTTTGATTCCCAGCACTGCAAATAAATAAATAAAATAAAGGTCCATCAACAACTAAAAAAATAAAAAAACTGAGGGCATAGAGAATTATTCTTTCTACGATAGTTCATAGTAAATGGCACTTGGTCTCAAAAAGTAATTATATGTTTAATATATGTAGGAGTTTTTGTTTTTTAACAATATCTTTTTTTTGATGGTGGAGTTACTGGGAATTGAACTCAGGCACTTGACCACTGAGCCACATCCCCAGCCCTCTTTGTATTTTATTCAGAGACAGGGTCTCACTGAGTTGCCCAGCACCTTGCTATTGGTGAGGCTGGCTTTTAACAATATCGTTTTTTTATTCTTACCAGCAGTGCACAATGGTCACAAGTTTTTCTTTCTTTCTTTTAGTTGTTGATTAACCTTTATTTTATTTATGTGTTTGTATGTGGTGCTGAGAATTGAACCCAGTGCTTCACACATGCTAGGCAAGTGCTCTCCCACTGAGCCACACCCCTGCTCTATGTAGGAGATATTTAAAAGATACTGCTTTGAGTATTTTACAACTGTTCATTTATTTATGAGCAATTAATCTTTATATAATGATGTTACTGGGGATTGAACCCAGGGGCACTTTATCACAGGTCCATCCCCAGCCCTTTTTATTTTAAGACAAGGTCTCACTAAGTTGCTTAGGACCTTGCTAAGTTGCTGAGGCTGACCTTTAACTTGTGATCCTCTTAGCTCAGCCTCCTCCAGCCTCACTTCTGGAGCTGCTGGGATTATAGGCATGTACCACCATGCCTGGCTATATAATGACCTTTAACAGGACAGTGGGTTGGGATTTTTTACTTAGTGTGCACAATGATCTTTGAATAACTAATAAAAAGCAAGTGATAAGAAAGTAAAAGGAAAATCAAAGTAACCCTATCAGCCATTTCCTAAAATTACCTGGTTTTCCTTAGAAGCAAGCCACTGTTTTAAATTTTTTTGTTACTATCATCTTTAAAAATGATTTTTCCTCTTAAAAAGGAATCCAGAACATTGGCTGAAATTGCAAAAGCAGAGCTGGATGGCACCATTTTGAAGAGTAGACCTCTCCGAATTCGTTTTGCTACACATGGAGCAGCCCTAACGGTCAAGAACCTTTCTCCAGTTGTTTCCAATGAGCTTCTAGAACAAGCATTTTCCCAGTTTGGTCCAGTAGAGAAAGCCGTTGTGGTTGTGGATGATCGTGGTAGAGCTACAGGAAAAGGTTTTGTAGAATTTGCAGCAAAACCTCCTGCACGAAAGGCTCTGGAAAGATGTGGTGATGGGGCATTCTTGCTAACAACGTAAGTTTTAAATATCTCTTTCTTCTTTTGTCCAGTTACATATGGTCTTCTCTCTGTTCTGGAATTCTGTCTTCCTTTACAATTCATACTGTCTTGGCATATGGTAAGTAGGTATTGATGAATGTGAAAAAGGAATTTTTATGTATTGCTCACTAGGACTTACGAATCATACAAAACAATCCTTTAAGAAATTTTAGCTTTTATTGAGGTACAATTTGAGCCAAATAAGTTTTAACAAATGTTTGTAACCATGTAACTACCACTATAATCAAGATATGGAACATTTCCATTGTCCCCCAAAAGTTGCATCATGCCCCTTTGTACTTACTCTCTACTACTTACCCCTGCCCTAAGTAGATATTAATCTTTTCATTACCACAGATAAGTTTAGTCTTTATTAATAGAAATCATGTAGCATGTACTCTTTTGTGTCTGGTTTCTTTTGCTTAGCGTGTTTGTGAGATTTCATCCTTATCAATGTGTGTATAGTATTTTATAGCTGAATTATGTTCTGTTTTATGACCACATCTAGTTGTCCAGTGACTTATGGGTTGGTGTTTGGCCAACTGTTGTGAATAAAGCCACTATGAATATTTGTGTTCAAGTCTTCTTTTGAACATTATGCTTTCATGTGGCTTAGGTATATACTCAGGGGTAAGTTGCTATATGTTCATTTTCCTAAAAAAACTGTTAAAACTAACTGGGTGTGGTGGTGCCTGCCTATAATCCCAGTGGTTTGGGAGTCCAAGGCAAGAGGATCTCAAGTTTGAAGTCAGCCTCAGCAATTTAGCGAAGCCCTAAGCAACTTAGTGAGACCCTATCACAAAATAAAAGAAGGGCGAGGAATATAGCTCAGTGGTTAAGTGCCCCTGAGTTCAATCCCCTGGTACTCTTCCAGAATCCCCAAAATAAAAAACAAAAACCGACAAAACTGTTTTCCAAGGTGTTTGAATCCCCACCAGCCAAAAATGAGAGGCTCTGGCATTTTTAGTTTTCTCTCTTTCTCTCTCTCTCTCTCTCTCTCTCTCTCTCTCTTTTATTTTATTTTATTTTTTTTGATAGTAGGGATTGAAGGTTGCTTTACCATTGAGCTACATTCCTAGTTCTTTTTAAATTTTTTTAACATCTTTAAAAAAATTTTGAGACAAGGTCTCGCTAAATTACTGAGGTCTTGCTATCCTTCTGCCTCCTCCAGTCTCTGGGCATTTTTAATCTTAGATATTCTAGTGAACATAGTAGTCTCTCATTGTGTTTAAAATTTTATTTTCCTGATGGCTAACGATAAGCATCTTTTTTATATGCTTTTTGGCAAGTTATATATCCATGAAGTATCTGAAATGTTTTGGCCATTTTCTAATTGAGTGATTTGTCTTTTTACTAAATTATCTGTTTTAGGTACATGTCTGTGGGAGGCCAACCTTAAGGGTGACTGAGTTACACTCCCCGGCTGGGTGCTGAGGCGCTCAGTCACAGAAATGGGTGTGTCTTGCTACAGCCCCATGGGGTGAAGCTATGCTCACCTGTTCCTTTGTAATATAACCCCTTGCCCTGTTTAGGATAGAATCTTCCATGGAAGTGCCTTGTGTGTGTCCCCTTCTCTTACTGTGTCCTTGGGTGTGGCCTACTCAGGGTCAGTCAACCTGCTGACAGTGGACTTCATGAAGATACACAGCCCCCTGAAACCTGACCCCTTGCCTCATTTGAATAGCTTCCCTCAATAAAAGGGGTCAGCATGTGCTGTCTCTCTCTCTTTCTGCGGACCCTTAAGGTCAGAGGAGCCGTCACAGCGACCCCAAAGAAAAAGGTATTTGTGTCTCTTGTGTGGTTATTTCGTGCATCCCAGTTAGCCCAGTTTAACTGGAGTGACCCCTGAGCCTTTTAGTCGTGAGAACAGAAACCCGGCACATGTCTATATTATGAATATGTCTCTTTGTGGCTTTCCTTTTTTTTTTTTAGTACTAGAGATTGAATCTAGGCTTTCATGTGTCCTAGGCAAGTGATCTACCACTGAGCCTCATTCCTGAGCCCTGTGGCTTTCTTTTTAATTTTCTTAATGTGATTTCCAAAGAGCAGAGGTTTTTGTATTTTGTGAAGTACAGTTGAAAAGGTTATAGTTGCATTTTTCTTATTTGCATTTTTGTCAAAATTGGAAATCTGGGGGAAGAAAAGGTCTGGGGGTGTTGCTCAGTAGTAGAGTACTTACCTGGCATGCCTGAATCTATTTTCCTTTCTGTTCTGTTTATCACTGTATCTGCTCTAAAGCTACTTAGTTAATTACCTAATTTATTTTAAGCTTTGAGAAATTAGACAGTGTAAATCATCTAACTTTTCTTTTTAAACTGGGGATTGAACTCTTAGCATTCTGCTGCTGAGCTACATCCCTAGCCCTTTTTATTATTTTATTTTAAGACACGGTCTCTCTACATTGCCCAGGCTGGCTTGGAGCTTGTGATTCTCCTCATTCAGCCACTTGAGTAACTGGGATTACAGATGTACGCCCACCCGTGTCCAATCAACTTCGCTTTTTTTTCAAAACTGTTCTATGACGGATTCTTTGTTTTTTAAATTTAGCTTATTTTAATTTTTTTGGTACTGGGGATTGAACCCAGAAGCTCTTCACCACTGAGCTATATTCCTAGCACTTAAATTGTTTTTTATTTTGAGATAAGGTCTCACTAAATTGCTTGGGGCCTCACTAAATTTCTAAGGGTGACCTCAATTAGGGATTTTCTTGCCTCAGAGCTTCCTGTACCACTGGGATTGTGGGTATGTGCATACCTGGCATATTTTTGTATTTCTTTATCATGTGGTGCGGTCAGCCATTGGTTGTGAAATATTCAAATATTTTAGGGTGTGGGAAATTGAATTTAAAATAATATTTCTTTGGTCTTTAGAGGTTTGGATATTTGTAAAACATTTTTCACTCTGTTTTTTACTGTTTAGCACTCATGCTAAAATTGACATTCATAGTAGTTCTGCTGCTTTACAACACAGCCAGCTTGTTCTGGTATCAGCCTCTGGTCTTACTGTTTTTGCTTAGAGAACTTTCTTCCCTTACTGGGATAAACCTCATTTTCGTTTTTTTTTTTTTTTGTACCAGGAACTGAACTCAGGGGCGCTTAACCACTGAGCAACATCCCCACTCTTTTTTGTATTATACTTAAAGACAGTTTCACAGAGTTGCTCAGGGCCTTGCTAAATTGAACTTGTGATTCTTCTGCCTCAGCCTTCAGAGTCTGTGGGATTAGAGGCGTGTGCCACTGCGTCTGGCTCCATTTTTTTCCTACTTTGCTAAAATTAGTTCTCTTTACAGAAGCCAATCATCTTATCTATTTTTTTGGGGTACTGAGATCTAGGATCTAATCCTAGGATACTTTACCACGGAGCCACATCCTCATCCCCTTTTTATGTTTTATTTTGAGACAGGGTTTTACTAAGTTGCAGAGGCTGGCCTTGAAATTGACATTCTCCTGTCTCAGCCTCCCAAATTGCTGGGATTACAGGAATGTGAAACTGGCCAGCTCATCCTACTTTAAAGTAACCATCCTCTGTACCATCACTTAGGATTCACTCCTCATTTTAGTTCTCTTTAGTGCCCATGCTTTAATTTGTATGTCTTTCTTTTTTAATATTTATTTTTTAGTTGTAGCTGGACACAATATCTTTATTTTTTATGTGGTGCTGAGGATCGAACTCAGGGCCTCACACGTGCTGTGTGAGTGCTGTACTGCTGAGCCACAATGCCAGCCTCTAATTTGTATGTCTTTCTCTGCAAATAGAATGTAAGCTCCATGAAGGCAGGGGTTTGTTTTGTTCCAACTCTGTAATCCCAGCACCTGTGTTGTGTTTCATTTTAATTTTATTTTGCAGTGCTGGGAACAACACCTATACTCTAATGATACCTGGTCACATAGTAGGCTTGTGGTAATTATTTCATGAATGAATGAAGGAATGGGCAAGACATTTCTTGAAATGGGAGAAGCATGTGATTTGTATTTTTTTCTATTGCAAGCTTTGATGAATTGGTGTTTTTTAAAGTGATAGCCACACTGGTAAATATTTAACAAGTTCTCATAAGTAGCTTTTAAATATTGAACAGTTTTTTTTGGGGGGAGGGCGGGGTACCAGGGATTGAATCCAGGGGCACTCTGCCACTGAGCCTCATCTCCAGCTGTTTTGAATTTTATTTAGAAGGGTCTCACTGAGTTGCTTAGTGCCTTGCAGTTGCTGAGACTGGCTGGCTTTGAGCCTGCGATCCTCGTTTCTCAGCCTCCTGAGCTGCTGGGATTACAGGTGTGTGCCACCGCACTCAACTTGAAGAATGGTTTTGAGGGAATTGGCAAGGTGTTGAACATTTTATTATCTGAGAGATATTTCATAATCATGGTTTCTTGGATTTTTGCTGTAATACTGGTTTTTATTTGTCCTATTTTTCATGTGAAAAAATTGACCCAGAAATGTAAAGTTATATGCTTAAAGTTGTACAGCAGTTAGTTGTAGTAAGTTGAATTATAGCTGTAATAAGTTTAGTCTGGTATCAGGTCCCTTGCTTTTTATGTTGTGGGGTGATTGATGCTGCCTACAGATTCTCTTTGCTTAGAAGCTTTGCATCTCAGAGAATTCAGAATGCTCTTCTCTTCTGCTGTTTGCATGGTAGTGCCAGCTAAAATATGTGGTGGAGAGGAAGTCTTTTGACTGTCTTGTCTAAACTGTAGTCCCTCTGTTATTCTCATTCTAAATTTTTTTTTTTTTTTTTTTTGGACACTGGAGAGCACTCAGCCACTAAGCCACTTCCCCAGCCCTATTTTGTATTTTATTTAGAGACAGGGTCTCACTGAGTTGCTTAGTGCCTCACCCTTGCTGAGGCTGGCTTTGAACTCAAGGTCCTCCTGTCTCAGCCTCCGAAGCCACTGTGATTACAGATGTGCGCCACTGTGCCTGGCCTTGTTCTAGTTTTGTGGTAAGGATTAAACCTAAACTCTTGTGCATAATAGGCAAAT